TAATAAATCATCAAAACGCATTGTTTTAATAATAAATGGATCTTGATCATTTTTCTGTACTTCATTGATTAATTTTTATGAACCAATATTATTTTTAATATTAGCTCGAAGAGATAAATAAACATCTGATTTATTATAAAGTGCACGAGGAATAAGTTCAACTTGTTTTTGAACATTTTCAGGTTGAATCGATCGACGAATTCGTTCAATATTTGGACGAAACCATTCAATTGATATTATATTTGAACAACCTAATGATGCTGCATACATTCTATATATACCTAGATTTGCACCAATATCAATAAATGAATATTGTTTATAAGTTGAGAGTATACCAATAAAATGTGTTACTAAATGTTCTTCCCAAATCCCATGTGATACTAAATGACCACTAACATCTCGATCTTTTTCTATTTCATGAACACAAACAGTTGTACGATATTTATCTAATAATTATTTTGTTTTAACACATTTGAATGATTCACTTGTTAATATATTTAGATCAACATGATCATTAAAACTTGTTTTCCATGAAATAAATATTTTAGAAGAATAAGAATTAATAAATGAAAATAAAAATGAATGTGTTAAAAACATATACACTTATCAATAATACACATAATGCACGATGCAAAAGTCTTTGGAATAATGTCAAACCCTGTTAGATCATATTGCCAACTTCTGAACCAATCAAATTTTTTTTTATTAGAAAGAGCAATGTCTGAACTATAAATTTTGTATCAGACATATTGTTCCAAAACGAATCTGAGATGGAAGAAAAGCCAAAAACTAAACACCTCTAAAAAGGTTCTTGCAACTTCACCATCGTGCAACATAATTTTCTATGTTCTGTTAGTTTTTTTCAAATTAGAAGAGGAATGAGAAAGCATGTTCAGTGATGATTTTTGTAGTAGAAAGAGTGCTCTTTCTAATGGTGTATTGGAAGTTAAATTTATTTCTGATCTTTATATCAATAAAAAGCTTTTTCTGCAAGAGACTGAGTATTGTGGTCGTTCCCACTACTTGACTGTTTTACAACGATAAAAAATACTTTTTGAATACATTTTTTTCTTGCAAAATTCTACGATTAGATATATTTCGACCGAACAACGCGAAAAGAATTCAGTTGATGAATGATTTCTGAAGATGATGGCTGATATTTTTTTAAACTGATGGTTCTTGCAAAAGGCTCAGTTTTTCAAAAATTTCGTGTTTTAAACTGTTTTGATTAAAGCGTCAAAAATGGATAAAAAAAAAATTTCTCAAAACTGATATCGATAGATTTTTTGATACGCTACATTTTGGTGTATTTTTTCTTCAAAATTGATCTATGTAGCTTAAAATAATTGTGAAATACAGACTTTTCAAGTTGCAAAAGCGTTGCAAGAACTTTTTTAGGTGTGTTTGGTTTTTAGCTTTCCCTCCATCTCAGATTCGTTCTGGAAAAATAAGTCTGATACAAAATTTTTTGTTCAGACATTGCTCTTTCTAATAAAAAAAAATTTGATTGGTTCAGAAGTTAACAATATGGTCTAACAAGGTTTGACATTTTTCCAAAGACTTTTGCATCGTGCATTATTATTAGACAAAAGTAACGAAATTTTACTCTTTTATTCATCTAAAAATAAATTAATACATCAATAAGGAAAGATTCACATGGGTTTTAAATCGAAGCAAACTAATAAACATATTATTTTACGTAAGATAAAATAGGTTTATCAGACAGTAATATTCTATACTGAGGATTAATTAAGTTTTTTTCTTCACAACATATCAGATGAAAACAAATATCGAATTTCTAGAATAAGAAGAACATTAACAAAATTCTCATACAAAATAAGAATATAAAATTATATTAGTAAATTCAAGGAAAGATCGCATCTTCTTTTCGGAACCACTTTTCATTTCTTTCTCAGCGAAGACCAATAAAAACCGAGTTTATACCAATTGAAAGACCGCTAAAACATGATTTTTGATCATGAGTGTTCAGTTCTCTCTTCGATGATATAGATCTAACATTTACATATCAATGCTATAAATGAAAGTCTAACATTTATTTTGATAAAATTGCATACGACTGAAAAACGTGTCTGATTATAGTAGAAACTTCCTCAGTAGAACAATAAAGGGTGTTCCTTAAGTTCTGATCCATCGTGCAACATTTGTTTTTTTATATATTGGTTGGACCAAAAGAGTTGATATTTGTAGTATGTATACTACTAGCCTAGTTCTACTTTATACTAGTGGCGGAGCCAGGATTTTGAACTGGGGAGCTCAGCCCCGTCTGAGGGACCTTTGAGCCCCAGCTGGCGAATAAAATACATGGTTTAAAAAGTTTTCTGGGTGGGGCTCAAATGTTTCTGGGGGGGGAGGAGGCTGAGTCCCCCTCCCCAGTCCCGCCCTGGCTCCGCCACTACTTTATACTAAAATTTGAGCTTTCTATTTATCATCATTATCAATTTATATGCGTCACAAAAAACCCAACGAAAAATCAAAAAAATTGAGATATTTTTCATACATGACTATAATGTTGTATAATAAAAATTAGCTCTTCTAGTTTCAAACATCATCACCACTCAATAAGGAATTTTCTTTACTGAAAAAAGTTTGTAAAATGGTTTAAAAAAACAATAATTTACTACTAACTTACTGGATTAAAAATAGTATTATTTTATCCTTCCATGTATTCTATTCGTACGATTTGCTGTTTATGAACGTTGTTATTGACGAAAAAAAGCAAATTGTATATATCCTACTCAATTCGAACAAAGTCATTCTTAAGAAAAAAAAAAAAAAAAAAAGGTCTTTCTCTCATCCTAATATAATCGATGATTAAATATTGATCTACACAACACAGAAATCTTTTCTAGTTAAAATAAGATGATGAAGTTTAATTTCTCTAGAATTTGATTTAAACAAAATATTAATTCATATTTAAGAAGGTTGTTTTAGATCAAGATTGGCAAAATCGAATAGATTTTTTTTTCACTCAAATTTATTTGAATGACTAAAGATACTTAAAAGACATGTTTCAAGTTAAATATGTTCTTATTAAAAATGGGAAAAGTTTATTAACTCTTTGAGTCCCAAATTATTTTTCAGTAAAACGAATTCAAGTAAATCGTGAAAGTGACTCATTCTAGACATAGAGCGTATGATATGAAGAACTCCGATGACTATGCTCTTAGTCTAATGCGTTTAACTTTATTGAATTTTGTC